CTTAAGCCCTAAACCGTGAACCGTAAGCCAAAATCCCAAACCTTGAAACGTCCGGGTGCAAAGAGGGAGGCTTTGACCAGATGAGGTGACCAAAAGGTTTCAGGTTTTGAGACTAAGTCAATCCAGCGGGTTTCTCGCAGCTCTTGGCCGCTATTTGCCGCTAATGGCTTTCCCTATGATCCCAAAAGGTCCCCAACAGTTTCCACGTAACATATCACCCCTATTCATTAATGAGGTACTCATAACCTTTCTAAGTACCAAGATTCTCCAAGTAGGTTCTGGGTTGTTGGCCTAAATTTCTGGGGTCCTAAACCCTACACCCTAAACCCTATACCCTAAACCCTAAACCCTAAACCGCCTAAACCCTAAACCCTAAACCCTATACCCTAAACCCTAAACCGCCTAAACCCTAAACCTACCTGTACCTTTCCAGGTCGGGCCACTCCTTCTTCAATCCGAATTTAACGGACATTGCCAACACCCTCGTGGATGCTGCTCGGCATTTTGTTCGGAGGGGTGGGGAGCGCAGGTTCACAAAGTTAGGGCTGCATTAAGGGGTGCTTTTTCGCAAGAAGATCTGGAAAATTGCTACGTTAGTGTCCCCTGTGCCTGAAAGTCCAACTTTTGTCTTTATCCCTCAACCCTTCAAGCCCTAAACCGTTTAGCCCCAACGGCGAAATCCCAAACGCCCGACTTAGGGTCTATATGGTTTAGGGTTTAGGGTTTAGGGTGTAGGGTTCCAATCCGGGGTTGTCCTACCTGGCACTCCGCAGGGTTCTGTATCACAGTCATAGCATAATCATATACCCAATACTTTTCTAACGGCCATTACCTTCAATAGTTGTACTACAACATACTCAAAACACCTTCTTCCCTCAAACCCGAGCCTCTGCCACAGAGCTTTCGATCCCAAACCGAAAAAAGTCTCGGGTTTAGGGTACAGGGTGTAAGGGCTTAGGGTTTAAGTCTAGGAGTTTAGGGTTTAGGGTTTCAGGGTGTAGGGTTTAGGGGTTTAGAGTTTAGGGTTCAAAGGTTTAGGGTTTAGGAGTTTAGGGTTTAAAGTCCCGTAGCCTCAGACCTGACCTTGAATTCCAAATCCTGAGCTTCAAACTCGAAGCCCAAACGGCCTGCAAGAGGTGTAGTAGGGTTTAGGGTTTAGGGTTTCGGGTTTAGGGTTTCGGGTTGAGGTGGAAGCTTTAGAACATAAGGAACTCCTCATACAGACGCCGAGTACATAGCGGGATCCTGCAATACGAGGACTACGAACTCCTAAACCCTAAGCCAGTACGCAGTGGGATGCCTCCATGTAAGGACTATGAGACCCCAAACCCTACACCCTAAACCCTAAACCCTAAACCCTAAACCCTAAACCCTAAACCCTAAGGCGCCTATAAGCCCAGGTGGGTGTGGCAGCCAACGGAACCTACAACTGGACCCTCGAGTTCCAATGCAAGCTCCTGGGCGGCGTTTAGGGTTTAGGGTTTAGGGTTTAGGGTTTAGGGTTTAGGGTTTCAGAGTTTTGGGGTAGACGGCGTAGGGTTTAGGGTTCAGGGTTCGGGGTTCGGGGTTCAGGGTTTAGGGTAGAGGGTTCAGGGTTTAGAGTCCTGAGGATTTTTTGAGCTCCAACGGTTTCGGGTGCAGGGCTTTGGGTTTGAGGGTTTTATCGCTTAGGGGTAGGGGAAGTTTGACGACAAGACTTGGGGTCGTGTGCGAGTTTTAGGGTTTAGGTGTTTCGAAAAGTCCACAGGCAAGTTCTATCACACCCGTCGAGTACTTGGAGGATCATGGGACTTAGTAACTAGGGTTATAAATAAGGTAACTAGAACTATCACCCCAATTAGGGTACTTATAACCTTACTTACTAAGTCCCATGATCCTCCAAGTATTGAGCTGGTTCGTTGCTATCTTGTCGGTGCGGATGTTGACATCTCGTGGCCAGGAACGACGACAACCCTAAACCCCTAAACCCTAAACCCCTAAACCCTAAACCCTAAAACCCAAAAACCCTAAACCCTAAACCCTAAACCCCTAAACCCTATACCCTCACAGGAACGACGACAACCCAGAACGCGGCATCCGCTTCGCGGCCGTCAACTTCTATCACCGAAACCCTCTGATCGATGAGCAGGACGGGGCCTCAGACCGCGGAGGGCAGCAGCTTCCATGTGGGTGGTTGTCAAAAT